ACAAAATTGTCTTGAGAACAACTTTGATCGTTTAGCTTTCATCCCTTCCAAAGAGCACCTCAAATTTTTAAAAAAAAAATGAATCCAGGAACATACATAATGCTTTAAAATAAAAATTATTTCAATATCACTCAATTTTAAAAGAACTTTGGTCCAAGTCACCAGTTTAAATTTAAGGTGTTGATGTTTTTTAGTAACGCTCTCTTAGTGTCTGCCTTCTCCCACCGGCTGGGGACTTGCAAGTAGTCATGATGGCTCATGTAACATGTGATTATAGATTGAACCTCAAGACCAACACAGCTCAGCTGATTACAGCCTTTCCACAAAGAAATCAAATCTACAGGAACTCGCAATAGAAATTACAGTGTGACTTATTTCTAGTCACGAGAGTCGAGTCAACTCTACTGAAGTGAGTCAGTCCCCTCCACTGTACTGCTGTCTGAACTTAGGGTTTTCCCCTGTCAACACTCACTTTAACCTCTGGCTATAACAGCTTGGGACAGATGTCATGTAACCTGTGCGAATCCAACAGGCACGCAAACACATTTTATTTAAGGTAAAAATTACATTTAAAAAAAGACAGAAAGGATGAAGCATCAGGGGTGTTTGTAGCTCAGGAGGTAGAGCAGGTGTTCAATCCCCGGCTGCTCCAGTCTGCATGTCAAACATCCTTGGGCAAGATGCATCCATCGAAGTACGAATGTGTGTGAATGTGCGATGGAGAGCACTTACATAGTAAAAAAAAAAAGAAAAAAGAAAAAGTACTTGTATGAATGGGTGAATGAGGCAAGTTGCATAAAGTCCTTTGAGTTCTCAAATACAATAGACACGTGCTATATAAGAACCACTCCATGTACAGTAGATTTTTACTGTTCAGTATTAGTCACAGTTAGGCTTTCTAAGAAACGCCACGTGAAAGGGAAACACTGCAGAGCACTTTTGCTATGCACCGCTGCTACGTCAGTAAAATTTAAACACAACTTTATAGTGTTATAGTATTTTTTTTTGTTCTTTTTGCTGTGTCTCTATTATAAAGTTTGTGCACACACAGTCTTACCACAGGAGGGTACTGTTTGCTAAAGAACAAGCAGTGATAGCAGAGAACATTAAATGCAAAGGCTCCTTTAGCTGTTTACTTGAGGGTATTATAGTTTGTATGTATGGAAATTAACGTGCTAAAAATTGTTGGAACCTGACCCTGATCGCTTTTGAATGTAAACTAATAGGAAAATAATAATGCAACTTTATTCTTCAAACAATGTACAAAGATTCATTCCTTGTCACAGCTTATATTGGTTGTTGAACTGAAAGCATGGTTACGTTATTTTCTTTCACTCAATATTAGTGAATATTAGGGAAATTAGATGTACAATGTATCTTCATTTGACCTGTAATGTTTATGCCGTTGCTTCAAAAACTATATTTCAATCCTTCTGTAGAATGAACAGCATTCAGCTATCATCCATGAGTATCAATACCAGTTTACTGAAAAGGTGACTATTGAATCCTGAGCCTGCTGGTAAAACACTAAAGATCTTAGATCAAAGCCAGACTCTGCGAGATGAACCCACATATGTAGCATTTCGACATTTGTAGGCCACAATAAGTTAGAGCATTGCTGATTCAAGGTGGTGATAAGAAACAGGTTAAGGTGGGGAAATTTACCGATGAGAAAAACACGGGTAGGCAGGCAGTGAGTTGTTTAGCGGAAATGAATTTCCTGTGGCTGGGATCTTTAAGCGTTCTCTTCTAATTTTAATCATCTCTTTTGATTCAGTAGGTTTCAGGGGTCTGTTTTGTCATCAGCTCTTTCTATGACTTTAAGAATCATTTGACATTTTTAGCTCGTGGCAGTTCAAAGCAGAAGGCAGAAGGCTTTCAGAGACAAAGGTTGTACAGAAAAACAGTAATAACCGTACCTCAGACTTTGCTCTGCAGCTGGTACAGAGTGTAATGTTAAGATAAAGATCACGATACACAACATTAATGACGTTCTTGGGGCCCAACTTAAGTCAGTGAGGTGTGAACAAAACTTCCTGTGTGCATACACTGCTGCACAGAAGGAGGAACATGCAGCAAAATGTACATTTGTGTGTCTCTTTCTGTGTTTGTCCGTCGTCTACGATAACACGCAGAGGTGACTGTACATAGTTAGTGTTGTTTATTTCGATTTTCCGCATTACAACAGCCTGCTTTTGCCTCTCATATAACAGTTAGGCACAACGTATTGTAGCCGAACACTATAAAATATTGGTTGAACAAATCTTCACCGGGTAAGCCTGAACAAGGTATAGGATCCACATCGCAACTGACAAGATATTAGTTGGCAAAGTTATTAGTTTTTTCCACTAAATTTTACTTTTGATTTTTTCTTGTTATAGTTAGCCCATAACTAAAGAGACTATGTTTATCATTTTAAATGATTTAGAATTTAAAATCCATCCAAATCAATGAAATCTATAAATATGCAAATACATTATTATCGAACACAAGATGTTTTCTACTTTGCTAAAAAGTGTGCGATTCTTCTGCGAACATCTGTATTACTTGAAATAGATAAGGATTTTTACTTAAGTGAAAAAAACCTTCTTTTTTTTTTTTTACCAAACAATCATTGTCAATTCAACTCAACTCAATATAAAAAACCCTTTTCAGCCTCTTTTCATGTAATACCATCTGTATGAGAGCACAGGCCTGTAAATGAGCTAGATTCTTTTATTCAGTAAAAGTTATAACCATATATAAGTAATAATACAAATGTTTTAGCATGAAAATACACTGAGACTAGGTAAAACAAAAATACACATTTTGCAGAATCCTATACAGTACATATACATTTCCCACCAGGGAGGAAAAGCACAAGAAAGGCTGCACTTTCTCAGAAAGCTGTGTCAGGCCCAATTACCCCAAAAACCGCTCCACCATTGAAAGCCTTCTGACTTACTGCTGCATTCACAGAGCTTTACACTGCATTTATAAACCGTATTCATTACATTACAATGCAACTAACATTGCTACCTCTATTTATATAACTGTATTTATTATAGTAGCAACCAGCATTCCTACCCCTTACTCAATGTGCAATACTGCTGATCACATTGCACCTTATACTGCACTGATCACTCACTTGCTCCTTACATTGCACCTGCTCATTATGTGGCATATATTTTTGTATACAACTTACACATATCTATCTTTTTTGTGTAGATACTTGTGTTACTGCTCAGAAACTTAAGTCTATTTTATCTTCTTTTCCGATCCTAAAAGAATCTGTATGTAAATCTACATGCTACCAACGGAGAGATGCCAAACTGTGTTTCATTGTTCTTGTAACAGTGACAATAAAGATCTATTCTATTCTATTCTATTCTATTCTAGTATGTGACTTGATTCTAATTATTGATTCATATATTCATTATTGTTTTTATAACTTAAATGTTGCAGCTGGAAGTAATTTTAATTACTTATACAATTGGTTACAATTATAACTTTCTCTATAGTAAAATAGAATTAGGGAGTAGAAGCAGAAAGCAGTGTAATACAGAAAAACTTAAAAAGAGCAAAACAGGAAAAGTATTAAGTTGCACTCTAAAGCAGGTTTCTATTAATGCTGTGATCCAGCTGCACTGGGCTGTGTGAGATTAACAGCACTCTAGCTCTCTAGCTTTTCCTGTTCTGCCTTTTTGAAGCCTTTTATATTTTTGTGTGAGCTCCAAAGAGGAACAATGATGAGGTTTAACAGTCTGAACCTCCTGGGTTACGCATGCAAACACTCCCCGAACGAACTCCATCCTGTGGCTGACAAATCAGTCTGTCATAAATGACTCATCAATCATATCCTAACTCTCAAACATCAGCACATTTTTCAGATGCACCACAGAAGCACTATATTAACCTCTTGTGTTAAAAACACATGCTGGAGAAGCTTAGAGGGCGTGAAGGTAAATAGGCGACTCATTCAGTTTTGGTAAAATTCTGATGGCACTGTAGATTATTGGAAAACAGGGCGATCTGAGTCACCACACGTCTCTCACAGAGCATGTGGCAGTTAACGCACAAAGGTTAGCTTGTTTACTCCTATGTCTTTTTATTTTCGTTGTTCGTTTGTTTACTTCACCTAGATGTTTGAGCTTAACTGTGAACAGAATGAATGATCATTTTTACAATAAGATGAAGCAGTTTTTAATTACCAACGTGACATTTCTTGTGACTCAAGCTTCAAACATGCTGTTTTTTTCTTACTTCCTTTAAAAACATGATTAAGATGTTATCTATCTAAGAAATGTCCGCTTGTATATTTCAGTTAAGGTGAAATGTGTGAATTTTTAAAATTTATTTATTTTAGTGACGCAATTTGTGTGTGACTAAGTGCTTTTTTGATTCTTGCTTTCTACTTCCCTTTAAACTCGTTTTGGTTAAAAACAGCACCAAAATATGATGTAAAAATATTACAATATTTGTGTTTGTAGGCTATAAATGGCAGAAAGCAGTATTTCTATTTTCTTTTAGTGGACTGTGTAGGTCTTTTCTTCAAACTGTTCGTTTACTAGATTTACTTGATCTGATTTAGAATTTTTATTTTAAAAAACATATTTTCCAGTCCTAGCGGATTGATTTGTAATTTTTCAAATCACACACAGTTCTTTGAAAGCATGAATAGAATTTGAATTTACAGCACACAAAGCCATCCCTGCTCTTCTTTTGAGTCACAGTCACTTCTCTTGCTTTCTGTTGCCTCCTGCACTTCAGAGAGAAGCTGTTGTTTGAGCAGATACAACATCTTCGACTCAACCGTTCTATTTGTGGAAAGAAGAAGTACAAACAAGGCTGTTTCTGCATACTTCAGGGGACCTACCGTTTCTTGTCAGTCTATGAGTCCTATGAACTGTGTCACACACTGTGACCCCGCCCCTCCATGCTCAGTGTCAAAACTCCCCAAAAATATTTCCTTCTCACACATGCTTGAGAGAGCAGCTACTGTGTGAATCATGATTGTGAATGGCAGAAGACTGTGGGTGTGAGGTTACGAAGACACCGTCTTGGTTTCAGTCTTTCAGACAGACCCGGGCGAAATGGCTGGTTGTAAAGTTCAGCTGGATTTTTCAGACTCTAGATGTTCTTCATGTGCAAGCCATCCATATTATATCATCCTGGGTAAGTGTCCTTTTTTTTTTAAATCTGCCTTTCTACTTGATAAACTTCTTGTCTTGGTACAGCTCAATCTTTCTGGAAGGATTTAAATCCATGAACATCTCTGTGTTAACTCCTGTTGTTCACATTCAAGGTCTGATTCTTGTTCACTACGCTACACTCTCCATGCATTCTCAAGTATCTCCAGGTAGGCTTACCACAACATTTCTAATAATTCATTGTCTTATTACTGTTCATATATTGGTTAGCGCTGTGTGTACTGCAATTTTCCAGCATTCTGATTCATGTGAACTTGTGGAGCATTTGTCTCATTTGGCACAAGATGAAGAGTGAAGGACCGTAGTCGTAGTACTATATTTGCCCTACATTTGCACATTTAACCCAGCGTGTCACATGCCATTTTTTTTAACCGTCATTCAGTCTAATACAACAACTCAGTCCAACAGTGTATTTCACTTCATCGATGAAATAACAACTTATAAATATGCTTTACACCACCACGATCACTAATGAAGAGAGCAGCAGTATGTCAGGCTCTGTTTACTGTACTGGACCCCACACCCTACATGTAAACTTCGCACTTGATCCTCCCTTTTAAATGATAACTATATCAGAGCACTTGCATGGAGAATGTTTTGAACTTCCATCATACAGTCATGTTTAAAAAAAGAAAGTGCACCTTCTGTCAGTTGTACTTGTCACAACGTAACAATAATTAAAAAAAAAAAAAAAAATCATAAATCTGATTCTTAGCTTAATATCAGAGATTTCTGGGTCACAAAAACAGCTCTCTTTCTACCATCAGGGTAATGCTGAACGTGTAATCTGGTCTGGAGCATATTATATTCAGAGTTTAGGTTTGAAATCATCCAACTGTGCCACATTATCTCTGATTGTTTTATTTGCAACTTGTGTTTTAAGTGCAATGCAATTCTCTCTGCATGTGCAGCTTGTTAAGCTGTATTTTACTAAGATCGCACATGAAGCCCATCTGTACAGTTACAGCAGTGCAAACGTCGCAGTCCCACTGGAGTTTGCATATTTAGATGAGATGCGCATGCTTCAGTAAAATCTATTAGATCATTGCTAAGGTCTGTCGTAATCTGTAAAATTTATTTCACTTAGATCTGTTGACCAACTAAAGCGAAGCAACACGGTCTTTACTGTTTAAATGGACCCACTTAAAGGTTCCAGAGGTCTAATGCGCAGCCATTATAAATAAACAGCAGCGTAGAGAGCGCACTCAGCAAAAAAAATGATTAACTTGAATTTAAATATTTATTTAACACTCTAAATGCGCTAAATCCCACAATTCAGCATCCTTAACATCCTGCCTAATTTGCACCAATATTGCATTGTCCTGTTGTAGTTTTTTGCGTTCTTGATAGATTTTTACCAGCATCTTATCTTCATCATCTGAGATGTCTTTGATTGGAGTAGGCGCCACTCATAGTGATCTTTTTGTGCGGTGCAAGAGTTAAATGAAATGTGCAACATCCCTTTTTATGAGAGCTGTAGAGAACCTGAAGCAGAAAGCCTGGGTTATCAGAGAAACTTAATGATCTGCATTTTCATATCCATCATATCTGACGGAAGTTTTAGGTTTTATCAAACCAGCTGACGCAAAGAAAAGAGAGACTGTGTCGAAATTCCCTCATAGTATAACTCTCACGTCTTAAACTGAGGTAAATGCAACTGGAGGTGAACAAAAAAAAGTTACATGAAATGGAGAAACAATGTGTGAAAACATAACTACTGCTTACTGCTTCCATAGAAATGAAAGGGGATCATCACCAAGTGTGAGCACGTCTATAAAAGCAGATGTTTGGCGGTTTGCGCAGTATTCTCAAGTCAAATGCAAGGTGATCTGTCGGACAGCTAAAGCTTGGCCCAACGTCAGTCATGCAGCAGCAGGGCGATGATCCCCAGGACAGCAGGAAATTTAGAGTGACTGAAAAAAGAAAGGCTTAATGTGCTAAAACAACAATGTAAGAAGAGTGGACCAGAATTCCTTCACAATGTATCGAGAGACTGATAAAGTCCCAAGCCAGGTGTACTTAAGGAAGGGAGGGAGTTTGTAATTAGTTGTCTTTGTTTGTCTGTCTGTCTGTAAGATATTATTTACAAATTTTGTGTTGTATCATTAAAAACATCTACTTTTGTAACAATTTCTCATGAATTTACTAAATATTTTGTGTCACATACCATATTCATGTGCAGAGAAGTGCAAGGTAAACGAGATTTCTTCCAAATACCAGCATTGTGGACTTCACCCAGGTAAAGAAAACACATACTGGGTCATCCCGAGGTGACCCATAATCTTTGAAATCAGATTTGAGACAGGAAAACATTTTTTTTCTTCTTTCTTTATGGTGACTGTGCACTGCCTCTTTTACAGATGGAGTCTGTGATTTGGACTGTTTTACTAAAAATGCATGGTCCAAATTAAGATGTATGTGGAAACCTGGAAAACACGCATCCAAAAATACACATATACTCGTTATACAACCGTGAGTAGTTTTGTTTTTCCCTTTTTCCCTTACAACCACACGTTTTTAAAATGCATATGAAAATGTCCTTGTTTGTAATTAACATCTCTTGTTTCTTCTTCTAGAGAAAAGGGAAATTATTGCAGAGTTTATAAAAACATCACTAAATCTCCTGAAGAGATCGACTTCTATAAAAAAAGGAATGTGATCATTCAGATTTTTGAAAACAGTGAGTCAAAAAATTGCACCAAGGCAGTTTTTCAAGGTTCACCGGAGAGCCTGCGTAAGTAAAAAAAAAATAAAAAAAATAAAAATTTAAGGAGCAGCACTTTGTTTAAAGTTTAAAAATTGATGACATTTTGGGGATAATTTTCCTGACTGTTTCAGAGCGATGTGACCCTCCAAATTATGTGAAATTCACACGGCACTCTGGGAAACTGGACATAAATGTGAGCTGGGATCAAAACGATGTCAAGCATATCATGTCTTACTCTGTCAGATACAAAGCACTGGGAAGCCTTCAATGGAATGAGGTCAGTTATTTACTAGGTAACGATTGATATTAAAAATTTGCATTATTGCAGAGCACTACTGTTAAAGACCAGAGGGTTATCCACACGCATGCACAAAACATCAGAAAAAAAAAGAAGAAACAGTAAAAACGGCGTTTTATAAGGAAAACATCAAAACACTCCGCTTTTGAACAAAACCAAAAAAGACCTTTCCTATTGGCCGAAAAATGTACCATGTCGACCAATCAAAAAATGATATAGCAACGTACATTTAGTTGTTTAGGAAGGGGGAAGTTTTAGGAGTGAAGGCGGTGTTTTGAGATGCGAGAGATTTGCGATGTTTAGCGCAAATCTTGTGTAGTTATTGTGTAGTGTTGTCAATAGTTTTGTTGTGTGTGTCAGAACAATGAGACGACAGCTGAATGTTACAGGTGTTACAGGAGTGATACATCTCCTGTTGTCAAGCCTGCAGGTATCAGGCTGTTGTTCTCCTTTATCTCATAGTGGACAGAAATTATTTTTTGGAGTGGCACAAATAATTTGTGTGGCATCAGATTTGATGCAGAACAGCTGATTGTTCTGTAAATAATTTGAAATGTTTATTTAAAAAAAAAAAACAAAAAAAACGCCTTAGCTGCATTTTTAGGTAAACAGCTGCAAAAAACTTTGTTGTTTGCAAAACTCAGTAACTTTTTTGGAGAAGTAACTATATAATTATTTGCCCAACATTGGTCATTATATGCTGTATTTTGCAGACAGAGAGTTACAGGACTCTCTCCCAGACCACAGACTCATACTCATAATACAAGTCAGAGCTTTATAATAAATGAATAAAGTTGTGTTTTCAAAATTGGAGTTCAAGTTATTTTTACTTCCAATAGTGTTAACATACTACACAGGTCATGAACAAGATTTTTTTTAAATTTTCATTGTAAGTGGGCTAAAGCAGTTAATTAAAAGTAGTCTAACATAAATGTAAATGCTGTAATTTGATTATTTTAATAAACCATGTAACCATGTTGCTCACAGTGGTCCAAGGGTTCGCTCAGGGAGTTTGTGCGTTCGCTCAGACACATGAAAAATTAGAGGGAACATTGGACATGCCCTAAAAAAAAATCAGAGACATCAGAGACAACTATAAATCCCCATGAGCAAAAATAACCGCATCTTTATCGACTATAGTCAACTGTGGCCTTGTCTGTGTTGAGTATGTTGGTTTTGCCCATGAAAATCTTCTCTCCCAATGTCCATGCAAAAAGGGTTATTGTGTGACCAAACACATCCACACTAGCTGATTGCAGGCTATTGTGTCTGTGCATGGTTCCTCCACATGCTGCCGAATCATATTGTTAAATTGCCAGTATATCTTGTTTCTACACACTCAACCACGTTTGGAGATGTAGACCACTTTGACCTCAGGACTAAGTCCATGCCATGAATGGACATGTTCTTGGTGCTCTTTTTTCAAGGGCTTCTGCTGCCTGAGGTATTCACTCAGCATATAAACAGTTGTTGCCATCTTTTAGATGTGGATCTTTGTTATTTCATCTTGGATAGCAGTTCTGAGACTCAATAGTCCTTCTCTGTCTTCCTGTACTTAATATATAGTCTCAGGGTGCTGGATTTGAGGTTAAACCCTTGATACAAGGTAATTCCCCCTTTTTTTTATATATCAATGGCTTCTTCCTCCTTTGGTGAGCATATTATCCCAGCAGGCTATCTGATGACTGGCAGGCATAATTGTTGATTGCCCAGATATTCTCGGACTTATTCTCTGCAGGTGTGCGGCACTATGCACCTTTCCTGGCAGCTTTACAAGTTGGTTGTGGGATTTCAAGGTTCTTATAGCTATCCTCAATGTCTTTGTTGCCTTTCGACTACACTTTTCTTGTTTGAATGACATTCCTATGTCATTATTGTAGGTCCTAGTAGTGTGGATCAGGGAAGTGATATCTTGTTCACTCCTGGTATGCAGCTCGATGCCATCCATGTACAGGAAGTGGCTAAAGTTTGCTTTATTCGATAGTTGGCATCTGTAGCCAACTACTCCATCTTGTTAATGATGTGATTGAAGGGGTTCAAGCATATGCAGAACAGCACTGGAGACAGAGCATCTCCTTGGTAAATCACACACTTTGTTCACTGAATTCCTCTTAGTGTCCTTTTAGGCTCTTAGGGTCCTGTTGGTCTTGTATAGTTCCAGCCAGTAAGTCGTAATCTTTCTTGTAGTCAATCACAGCAGTGCACAAGATGGTCACTCTGGTCTTCCAAGCTCAAGTGACTGGTCTGTCCAACCACGGGCTGCTGTTTCGTTCTGAAGTTGCTGCCAATTCCTTTCTAGGCCCCACCCATGTATTGAGCCATGTTTCTGCTCATCTTTGCCATTACAATGATGGACAAGTTTGTGTGAGCTTGGTGGTTGCCAGAAGAAATGTACTTGTCTGATTGCATTGTGCCATAGGAAAAGTGGTGGTGGAGTCGGGATCGTGGTGTGAGGACGGGTTTTGTGTGTGTGTGTGTGTGTGTATACATATAACAACCAGCAGAAATGACACAGACACACACATACACACATACAACAAGACTGTTGATTTGTGTATCTATTTTTTTGCATAATTTTCTCTTGCAGGTGTTGTTTGTATTTGTGGGTTTTTTTCTTACAGGTGCAGCAGTTGATGAGCCATTGTGGGGGGTTTTGGCCTCCCCCCGCTTGTCAGCTTTGACATTGCAATATTTCACATGTAGTGTGAATAATGATAGAAATAATAATAATAAGAGTTGGCTCAAGAGTTGGGAGTTCGCCTTGTAATCTGAAGGTTGCCGGTTCGAGCCCCGGCTTGGACAGTTTCGGTCGTTGTGTCCTTGGGAAAGACACTTCACCCGTTGCCTACTGGTGGTGGTCAGAGGGCCCAGTGGCGCCAGTGTCCGGCAGCCTCGCCTCTGTCAGTGCGCCCCAGGGTGGCTGTGGTTACAATGTAGCTTGCCATCACCAGTGTGTGAATGGGTGGATGACTGGATGTGTAAAGCGCTTTGGGGTCCTTAGGGACAAGTGAAGCGCTATACAAATACAGGCCATTTACCATAACAGAAGCAAACGAATAAATAGCTAAAATTTAATTTAGAAAATCACAAAGAAGCCCACAGATATTTTATAGAGCTCGACTTGAAAAAGCAAATATGTCACAGCAGTGCATTCAGATCTTAATTCTAATGGCAGTCTGCCAGGCTAAGACAGGCGGTTTTTTTTTTACTTTTAACATCTTATACATAACTACTGTTTTCTTCTACTTTGAAAATCTAACACACACCATATCTGTCCTTGTATTTGCTCTTCGGGTCTTTTCACCATTGACAGTTTTCCATCACTATACTGTATTAGAGTGAAAGAGGCATTCAAAAGCAGGTTTGAAATGTAAACAACATCTGAAATAGCTGAATCTTAGATTCTTAGAAAGTGCAGCATGATCTGAGCTGGACTTTTATGATTTCAAAACACTGGTGCTTTCCTTTCAGATGCAGTATTATCCATAATAAAGGATTAAAAAAAACAAAACAAACATTGATAGACAGCAACTCTCATAGACAGACACATTTATCTGAGGGAGACAAAAAGTAGCCTACGTCTAAAGGTCTGCGTAAAGATCTCCGTGAAATGAGTCAGAGCTTACCAACTGACGTTAACTGCCCACACTTTAGTCATGTAACAGTTAAAGTTGTCAGATGATGAGATTATGTCTAACTGAAAGTCAAATTTCTCTGAAATATGATCTCAGAAGGTTGAAAAGAAAATAGACCACCATGAGCTGGGTGATTTTTGCTTTGCAACATTTGCTCTGATTGTATTTCTCTTCCAGTCTAATTTTAAATCACAGCATCTTTTATATCAATTTCTGCTAAAGAAAATGATCCATTTTAAATCCAGCCTGAATCCTTACTCACACTCTGGAAAGTACATGGTGAACATTAGGTATATTAAGGAATTCATTCAGGTGATATACAAATTACCTGAATTACTTGTAACTGCAGGCGTACTTGTTTTTCCAAACTTTAGTTTTTAACCTCTTTCTGAAGGCATTGTGATCTGCTCTCTGTGACTTTGTCGGCTTGCATTTTTGCTCTGAACCAGTTTCTTCTACTATACTCTACAAAAAACAAAACAGATGTTTATTTCGGATACTTCCCTAACGCACCCGCTGAAATCTGTGCTGCTTGCAGTCACCTGGAATGTCCCAGAATAAAACTACATGCAGAGTGGAGAATCTAAACTCCTCAGTGGCCTACGCTCTACAGATACACTGCATCACCAATACTAAATGTACACAGTGCCCATGGAGTGAAGCTTACACTGTGCCATCAGGTTAGTGTTTGCTTTCTACTTTGTTTTTCTCCTAAAACCGGATAAAGGATTACCTGCTTATGTTCGAAGTAAAAAAAACAAAACAACCCAGTTTGCTCTTTCAGAGGTGACATCACAGCCGGTCATCGTCAACTTTGAAGAAACTGACGTCGCCAATGAAAAGGGTTCTCGCCTTGTTTCAATAACCTGGAAGGTAATTTTTCTTCAAAAACATCTTCTGAGAACATGCTATTAAACAAAAAGCACAATGTAGAAAACACTCAGCAGCCACTTCATTAGGTACGCCTGTTTTAATGTTTGCTCGCAAAAAATGTCGAATATGACAATCGCATGGAGCAGCAGTTCTCTGGGATAAAATGCCTTGTTGATGTCAGAGGGGAATGTCCAGAATTCTCTAAGTAGATTGTAAAGCAACTGTAACTGAAATACTCAGTTGTTACAACCACGGTATGCAGAAGAGCTCTTCTGTGAGGCTTGAAGCAGTTGTGCTAGCAGCAGAAGAGGACACCGGGTGATATTTCTGTCAGCTGGAAACAGGAACCTGAAGCTACAGTTCACACAGGTTCAACAGAAGATTGGACAAATGCTGCCTGGTCTGATGAATTTCAATTTCTGCTGTGATGTCACAATTTGCTGTAAACAATATGAAGGTATGGGACCATCCTGCCTTGTATAGATGTTTCAGGCTGCTGGTGGTGTAATAGGGTGGGGAATATTGTCTTGGCAGGCTTTCGGCTCTTAATGGTTTCTGGAACATGATCTCAAACCAGACCTCAATCCAATAGAGCAT